GGCTGCTCCCGAAAAGGGTCTTTAAAAACAAAACTGATGCAACAATGAACGTCTTAAAGGATGGCAAAAAGGGGGTAAGTTTCCCCCTAAAGCATCTTCTCAGTGGGTGCTTAGTTGGTGGTTAACTTCCCTTAAAGCCTGTGCAACTTCATGTTATTAAGCCAGAAGTGCCCATCAGAGCCTGTCCAGCTTGAGAAGTAGCTTTCAGCTCTATTGCTATGGTCCTTAAAAAGGAAAAAAACAAATTACTGGCGAGTTACATAGTATGCATAGCAAAGCTGGCTTCATCATCATACGCTCCAGTGATTTGTCAGATTGTTGAGTACTGCCTAACAGATAAATCTGTAAAATACTGAGTAATCTTAATGCCTGTTTGTGCAGAATCGTAATTTTTCATTTATTTTGATATGCTATTAGATCCTGCATTTTCTGTTTTATTTGACTATGTTCTGAACTTCTGAAACTGAAGTCCACTCCTCAGATTAGTCTCCCTGGTCACTGTAAAAGAGCTGCTGTATTTTAACTTACAGGGAATTACACTTCCGTTATATCTGTATCATGTATTAATATATAAAGGTCTTCTGGTTAAAGCCACAAAACAGTTCTACTTATCAGCCTGATATAACTAAATCTGTCACCTTGATGAACAAGTATCGTTAATACTGGTATTTTTTTCCTTACCAGCACGCACCTACCACTCATCTGAGCTTAAAACCAGAAAAATGTTATGTATCCCCGGTTGTAAACATGAATGATCACTTTGGAGAGCTTGAGAGGAAGAATGTGGCTTGCATTAAAAGAATACAAAGTATAGTTTTGCTCTACAATTGTTTCAAGTGCTACCTAAAAAAAAAAACAACAAAAAACCCCACAACTAACACCCGCCCCCCCCCAAAAAAAAAACCAAAAAACCATAAAAACCCCCTTATAGCATTTAAGTTTCAGTTCTTAAACCAGTTTTTGAAAAATTGCTAAAGAGAAAGACAGGGCTTATGTCTAAGACATGAGTGCAGTTACAAACAGCTGTCAGTTTAAAAGGTACTGGTAATGGCCTAGTCCCTTTTATCTACATAAGTGCTTTTCAGAGTGTGACATTATCATGTTTGTTTCACAGAGAGTGAGACAGCAGCTAAAGAGTTAATGCTGCCTTCTTTTCACTTTACCTTCTAAACAGTCTTAACTATTTCAGCAGCCAGGGGGAACTGTTTTGATACTGATGCTGAATAGTATTTTCAACCTTTACATACAGTAGCAGGATGTTTTGTTTAGCCTTCTGCATATATTTAAGCTGTAGCCAGTTTAAAACAAGCAAACAAAAAACCCCCACAGTTTACTCACAGTTGGTAACTAGGGTACACCGATATAGCTTGTGGCCAAGGGGAGGGAGGTGGAAACCCCAAACCTTCGTGTGGTTTTTGTGTTGTGACAGCAGGTTTGTTTCCTAAGCAGAAAAACTCCAAAGAGACTGTTATTAGAGTTGTGTATTACAGTAGATGTCACAGGATTCAGTTCCACTCAGTTCATGGTTTCATGTACCAAAAAAAAAAAAAAAAAAAAAAAAGAGGCAGTTTTGTTCAGACAGTATGTCCCCCACTGTTTCCAGCGATATCTCTGTGCAGGAGAAGATGGAGTTCTGTCGAGACCTGGATTACATCTAGCTACAGAAGTGGTGAAGGATTTATCATCACAAGTCAAGTATTTTGGCCAAAGATCTGACTTCAAAAAGGGTAAAAAGAGGGACATTAAGGCACAGTATTGTTTGTTTGTTTGTTCAGTAAGGCACTGCTTCAGTATCTTTGAAATTCAGAAAGCATTTTGCATTTTCATCCCTGTATAGTTTTATGCATAAAGAGCCAGGGGAAAACGGGGGAGAAAGCAGAAATCAAGTACAGTGAAGAAAATTCTTACAGCTTCTGCTCTACGGCCTTAGTGACACAGTTTAAAGTGTCTTTCAAACCCCAAAGCCAGCTTACAGATGTGTAACTGCTTGGATTCAGAACTTAGTGCTAATGCCCAGGCTGCATTCAGTCAAATATGTAATTGTGTTTAATGTATGCCTCTATAAAACCCACACATAAGACATCCTGAAAGAAAGCCTAACCCTCTGTCTTTTTTTTTCCCCCGCTTCTGCAGGAAACTATGCCCCAGACGCCAATATTTTCCAGCATGCTTGGTTCCAGTTGTAGTGGACAAGTGCAGCCAGATATGGGAGAGAGGTGTGTGGACCCTGTTTATCAGGATGGGAACCTTGTTTCTGGGTCACTGGAGGCCTTGATAGAGCGCCTGGTGCCCACCATGGACTATTATCCAGATGTAAGTAGACACTGAAGGATTTTTTTCTTCCCATGGTTTCCCTGCATTAGTATCTAGATTGGTGTTTCCTCAAGAAATTCTACCTCCATCTGATTCAAGATTAAGATGTAAGCTAAGATGCATTTATTTTGCTTGCAATATTCTTTCACTAAAGATGTTGCTCAATGGGGATACTCTCCTTTCTGTTTTTAAATGAGAACACTTGTTAGACAGATAAAGCCGTGTTGAACCCAAATGGGTGCCTTAAGAACCAATTAAAAGCAGCATTAGCCACAGAATTTTCAATCCTTTAAGCTGCTTTAGCTCTAATACGGCCAAGATTAACTACTAACCAGCTCCTACCTAAGGAAGCAGACCTGAAATCAGCTCTAGTATTTTTTTCCTTATTTTTCTATACATCTCCTAGTTAGGCCATCGGAAAAAAACAAAAATAGATTTTAATTAAAATGCTCTCTTTCTCAAGACATTTTAATGGGCCAGCACTGTAATAATGTGTGTTCCTGAGCCTGAAAATGATTTTGCAGCTGATTAAACATCCTCAGTGCAGTCCCCTGAAGTAAATACTACTTACAACTCCAGGGCATGCAGTAAGATTCTGAACCTAGGATATTATTCAGAGATCACTTTATCACTTAAAATGACCTCTTGTACCCATTAATGAACGATGTTATTTAAACAAGTTGCCGAAGATCAGAGAGGCTATATAGCATATATTCCATTTGAGCTCTGAAAAAGTGGCAGCTATGGCAGAAGCATCCCAGCTCTTTGTAAAGACTAACAAGGGGGCGGGAAATTGCAATCACTGTTGAACTTAATGCTTGCGGTAGTGGGGTAGTGCTGCATCTTGTATGTTTCTCAGTCTGATTCACATAGAACTTTTTCCCATGGTTTCACTTCAGTCACAATAAAGTCCCTCCAAGCTCCCATGTATACACTACCCATCTTCACAATTGCCATGCACAAAAAAGGGACTCCCCTTTTTTTTTCAGTGGGTATAAGCAGCAGAATTGCCAGCAATTACCAGTGGAAGAGTAAAAAAAGCAAAACCAGGATGTTTTAATATTCCAGTTCAAAAGTAATCCTAAACCTTACATTTAAATATGGCTAACAAACAATTGCAATACCTTTGACAGATGCTGACTTAGTACCAAGTCCTTTATAAGACACAGAGGGATAACCATTGTTAGATATTAAATTTCTGCTCCCTGCCCCGAAATACATACTGCAGAATAGATGCAGAAGAAAGCAGCAGGTAGAGCTGGTATGGTATACCAGTGGAATAGCTTGAGGCTGCTGTAGTTAAGCCTTCCAAGGGGTCAGTTCCTTGTTTTTTGTGTAATACTAGAGTATAGTTACTTGCTGCTTGGATTTCTAGAACATAGCTAAGTTTAAGTAGCTGCTAATGCACATCCCTTATTGTAACTTGTAACATAAGATCTATTTATAACACAGCTACTCTGAAAATGGTTCCATAAAGTGAGCATTACTGAAGGGGTCTGCAGCTTATATTTTGGAATGCTGCTAGTTTCCATGGTGCTATCCCATAACCCGTGCATGGGAGCACTGCAAACCAAGCAGTCACGGACCCCACCCTGGGAGGCTGCAGTTTAAATAGACAGTAAGCTGACAGCTGAGAGAGATACAACAGAACCAATCAAGGGAACTCCAGGGAGAGAGATGGAAAACAGCATTAAACCAAATTCATCTCCTATACAGCAGAACACATTCTTCTGGTTAAATCAGATCACCCGATTTAGCTGAAAGGATTAATTATAAAATGAGTAGATAAATAAGCCTTGAACAACATAAAGAAGGAGCTGCATTTGAGTCATCTTCAAATCCAAGTTTTCTATTTCAGTTCAGTTACATGTTTATACTTAATTTCATGCTCATTTCTATTTTTAGGGAAGTTGCCACAGGGTTAGAGTGATAGCCGTTTACATTGATATCCTGTCAGAAGAGTAGCCTGTATGTTCAAGAGAAAGATATAAAACACCTCTCAGTCTCATGTCTCTGGTTACACATGCTAAGAAAGGCAGCAAGGCATCACCAATTATTTCGCACTAAGAGAAGCAATTGGTAACCTTAGCAGAGATTACCTTAGTTTCACAGTGACATATCTGTAAATTGCAGTACTCATCCAAATTTTTGGATTAGTACATCTGAGCACAATGCTTAGAAGGCATTCCCGCCTCTGTGGACATTAAGCTAAAGATCACAGTAACCTTCCAGACCGAAAAAAAAAAAAAAGGAGGTGGGGGAGAAAGCAACCACAGTATCTTTCTGTGCTGGTTACAGAGGCAAAACAAAAATCTATTTGCCATGTTGGCAGAACACGAGACAGGCAAGGGCGGATGGGAAAGATAAGGGCCTACATTTGTGTCCTGCTTTTTTGAGGCTTGTTTGTGTACAGGGACTTGTTCAGCACATAGAAAAAATGTATGCTCATGAGACAGAGAAGTTCGGGAGGTTAGGAATGGAATGTACCAGTCTGTAACCCTTGTGCCCAAGCAAGAAAATGTTTCAAGAAAATATTTCACAAACAAGAAGTTCCAGAATGAGCAGTGAGCGCACAAAGAAAATTCCGCCCCTCTTCCCCCCCGCCTCGAGAAGACATCAGTGCATTCTTCGGTCAGAGAGTAACAATTCCTTCTTTAGTCTTGTGCGCTTGCGTTCTCTCCTTTTTTTTTTTTTTTTTAAATATAATTCAGCTCATCTCTTAGCAACAACTTTAGGCACTAAAGGAATCTGGCTTCTTATTCTCTTGTAAAGCACAAGCCCCTTTTGTGTCAGCTTATGTTGCTCCAAGCACAGACAGGATTTTTTTTTTTTCCCCCTCTCCTCCCAAATACCTGTCACTTTTGTAGGATAGATGGAGCTTAACTTTCAATCTCATAGCTTATGGAAGCATTTTTTAATCATTCTTTGTCAAACCAGCTAGCTTCATAGCTAAATTTCCTTCTCCAAATCACCTTCTTCATGATTAAGGGACTGCCTATGAGAGAGTGTAGTTTTTACACTGTTATAACATTTAGCCTATATGTGTATAGTAGCACAGGTGCAACAAATCACAGAAATCCTTGATCTAGATAAGGCATATGACATTAGTATGAAATATTTCCTATCCAAGACAACTGTGTTCCTAACCCCTGAGACCTACCGCTAAGCTGAAATGTATGGCTTAGTTCAGCCTGAATTTTCTTTATTGGATAGGGATTGGCTATTAGCAGGGAGGCAGGAAGATGGGGGTCAATACTGCTGTCAGACCTATCATTTTTAATTTGGTTCTTAATTGCAATTACCCCTTGTCAATGCCAGCATAAGCAATAAAAGTATCAACCCCCCCCCCAATTAGATACCAATGTATTGTAAACCAGCATATCTTGATTGACCAAAATGGGACAATTTTGTTTTCCAAAGTACTGAACCTAGTCACAGTTAAGTGACTTAAAAAATGGAATAAAAATACAGCAGATAGGTTCCGGTTTAGAAACTAGCTGTTTCTAAAACCTAGTAGTCCAGTGCTGTCTAGAAAAGCATTGCATGTGTCTGATACAGACATTACTGATTACAGAGAGACATCAGCAAGCCTAAAATGGAATGTACGCACTTTTATGGTCATTATATTCCTGCATCTTGCCAGTTCGGCACTTTTTTGAACATCATGTAAAACATTATCAAAGAGACCAAATAAAAGCACAGGTCATCTGGGTCACACTTTTCTTGCAGTATAACAATAGGGAAATGATACTCTGAGTGGGCGTTTCTCAGAGTCACTCTGGATGAACAGTGTCCCACATCACACAAACTTCCACCAAGGAGACCAACGCTAGAATTAGTACGAGAAGCAAAATTACATCTTTCCTTAAAAGAATGCGTTCCAGCTTATCAGAGCGAAGGCCACTGGGAGGGCAGCGTGGCTTAAGTTGTGGTTCCCTGCTACTTACACGTAAAGGCATCTTTTCAGACAGGCTTCTAAACTCCCAAAACAAAAACATGGGGAAGGGATGAAAGTATCAAAGTCCATAATTTTTTTTTTTTTATTCCCCATCTCTCTCAAATGCAAAAGAGGGTAAAAGTGAGGGCTGGTTCATGTTTCCAGAAAAAAAATTTTCACACAACCCAGTGACAGCTGACACACCCAACAGCTAAATTGCTTCCCCAGATAATCCAGACTCACAGTTTTTCAGGGACAACACTGATAGAAATGAACACAGAAGTTGGCTACAAAAAAATAACAGAGGATAACCAGGCATAGTTTAAAACACAAACAAGAAAAAACCCAACCCCAAAACCCCCCAAAAAATCTCACAACCCAACACTATTCTTTCTTATGCTTTCAATCTGAATGGGGAGTGTATCAGTTTAGGGATCTTTCTCAGATACATAAGAATAAAAGGTCTGATATGTTGTCCCATAACACAATCAAGTCCCCTTTTATGAATCAGGTCAGCTCTTCAGCCCTCACCACATATACTACTATAGATTTTTATAAAGCTTCTCCAAAGCTGACACAATGTCATCAACTGTTTCCAGATGCAGGCATAAAAGCTACATTAATTTGTAAAAGAAAATCAATAAACTTCAATTTTTTTGTCATTGTAAATGTAAAAATAAATTCTGAAGTTCTGGAGAGAGCATAAACAAAATACCAAACAGAAGCCCAGTTTCTTAACTTTTCCCAATGTACACTTGTGTGGGATGTTTGCAACCGTGCCATCAAGAAGGGAGGCCATGCTGCTAGTGTCCTATCACTGCCCTGGCCACCTGCTCCAAGTCACTGAGAGCCCAGTTGTTAGGTGGCCCCAGCTGTCCATCTTCTGTAGGCATCAGTGGAAGCACCTGACCCTTGCTTGACAGGAATCAAGCACCTGACCCAAAGTGTCCATCCAGTTAACCCTTCTCCTCTTCTCTTCCTCTATAGACAAGGCAAAGACTACGGATTAACTCCAGTTTTGATTGTACAGAATTAGTGCTATTCCTAATTTAGTACACGAACCCCAGTGCTAATAAGATCTTCAAATCAGAATGAGCATTTTAAATGCCTCTACTGTATCACACTCCACTTTGTTCTTTCATTAGCTTCCTCCACAAGCTCAGGACAGAGTTGGACGTTTAATAGATACGTGCTTAATCTATTATATTGTTCACTCACTCCCAAAACACTGTGACTTTTTAGTTAATTTTATTTGGGGGGGGAAGCCCACCACCAAAAAAACCAAACGAACAAAACTCCAAACCATTCCTTTTTCTCCTTCTGATATTTGGAGGGGTTTAGCGCTGAATTTATATTATAGGGCACACTGAGTATTAAAGAAGTGGAAACATTTTTCATTAATAGCACATTTTATTGCTGTTAGAGAGAGAAACCCCATAGTCTTTTTGGAGTCCTAAAGATACCATTATTGTTTAGCTACAAGCGTGTTTTTAGAGACTGTAAGCAGCAGAATTCAGTAGCTAATAGTAGAGATGCCATATTTTAGACAACTGGTCTTAAGTTTTTAGATGTCTGAATTTACTGACCCAGTCTAACGTGGTATATGCGCACATTGACTATTTATATGCACGCCTGGCTGTGGCCTGCCAAATCACATTTCTAAAAACAGAGTACAAAGTAGCAGTACACACTGCAAACATAACAAAGGTTAATTGAAATCCATTGTCAAGGAGATCCCCTACAATTTCCTAACTCCAGATCGTGTCAAAAAGCCTAAAGGAAAAACAGAAGTGCTTATGAGATGCTACTGTCATTACTGGGGCAATTACATTCAAATACAGAAACCAAGTTTCCAACACTGAAGCAAGACTAGGGCATGAAGGCATTCTCACTTCAACTGTCCAGAGTATGATTCTGAATACAATGCATTACAACTTTTTAAAATACAAATGGAGAGGCTATTTCTAAGAGAGATAATAATTGTTGGCATTTATTAGCAGTGTTCCTACTCAAAAGAGTCTGAAACAGACCCCAAATAAGTAAAGTCAAGCTTAAAACTAAATTATTGTCATATGGCCACAATCTAAGCTAAAGCTTGTGTCAGTGATTGTGGGGAAAAAGGAACGAAAAAAAACCATACATGAAGAAATTACAGCTGTGGTTTGGAATACATACGAAGCAGTTTTCTGCAGCTCAATGAAAAACAATCACAATTAAAGAAACAAAGCAGCAGAAATAGTGGTGTTCAGGAGGCATAACACCCTACATTGGACATATTTCATTTGTCTTTTTGGTGAGCGATGACTAGTTAGGCATATTAGGTTTGGCATTTTAAAAGGGAAATAATTTGGGAATCTGAAAACACCACAGTTAACAGCCTTGAAGCCTACAGCATTTCCTTTCAACAGAGCTAGAAAAGACCACCACGTCTCTGGAGAAAAGAAAAATTATAAGAAGTTTAAATGAAGGAAAGTTACATTTGTGGTTTATGGAATAGTTTTTCCAAGGAAGACAGATTCTTTTTGCTAGTTATTCAACTTGGTTTTTTTTTTTCTCTCTGCTTCCACAGAGGACTTACATCTTTACTTTCCTATTGAGCTCAAGAGTCTTCATTCACCCACACGAGCTCCTGGCTAAAGTGGGGCAGATCTGCCTTAAACAGAAGCAGCAGCTAGAAACGGGGACTGAGGCAGAAAAGGTAAATGAACCATTATGTCCTTCAGTTAGCTGTGCTACTGTCATTTATTTCCCACTCTGTCCTTCTCATTGTAAAGCTAATTAGATTGATAAAGAATAAATTGAAATTGTAATTGCCGTGTGTTACTGGATGCACTTTTATTTGGGTTTTTTTCCCCTCGAAGCACTGTTGCTTCTTTGCTAGCTGCAAACATAGGTTATGTGCTACCTTACAAGTCAGACACAGTGGCTGGAAATAAAACCTTGCTCACGAGCTACAGGTCAGTGCCGTGCACTGGAGCAATGTGTATCTTCCATGGAACCTGCCCAGCAAGTCGCTTTGCGCTTTTGGGCTTTCACCAAGTTAGGTCTTTCTTGAGTCTGATTCCCCTTTCTCCAGTCACCCTCACCATCCTATTAGAATTGAGTGCTCTGCTGTAGGTTATTGGTGGGGTGTTTTAAGTTGTTGTAACAGTAAATCAGAAAACTACCTCTCATGAAAATTAAGGGATGCACTACTTAAAATGGTAGCTTGTGCTGACACATGTGACTATGCAGTTTTACTACAACTGATTAAACCAAACTGGATCAGTTTACATGCACTTAAATCCATCTGAGTCTCACCATTATGGGAAGTGGGTATTGAAGGGCTTTTGACTGAAATGGAAGTACCAGAATAGTCCAAACTGGGATGCAAATAAGAGTGACAGAAACAAGGATGAAATCAGCAAGTATTCAAAGACCTAAATTGTTCAAATCCTGGGCATGTTTTGGATCCATTTGTCTATGGTGAGAAATTACATGCTCACATTCCTAATCTTCAGCATGTTGATAGTCCCATTTTGTTTTCTTCTTGTTGTATCAGGACTCTGAGTGGAGAGCACAAAAGGCAACCCTGTGGTTTGGCAATACAGAGTTTTTGACAGTAATACTGACCTAAGGGCTTCTTTCTCCCTTACTATTCCTGGGTGCAGCCTCATATTATGTCACAAAAATTAGTCCACAGAAAAAACTAACCACTTGGTGCAAAATGACTTTCATCCAGGTCAGTCCCCTGATCTACTTGCCAAATAGCTATGTAACTCGTCATGTAGGTGCTGGGGAATTCAAGGGGTTGGGGAAAGAAGGTGCAAGAACCACTGCATCCAGCTTTGTACGTAGAGGTGATAACCATTCCCATTGCCACTGCCAAACTAGTTCATGACTGAGCAACCTCAAACTGATGCTCTGTAAATTGTAGTCATTTCTCAGCAACATGTAACTAAACAACAGAGGTAGGAACTTCTAAGAGATGCTGGGACCATCTGAAACATGAAATGAATAGAGCTGATGAGACATATGAAGAGAAAGACTGCTGTCAGTAGCTAGTGTCAAAATACATATGTGAAATACTTGGATTTAAAAATAATGGGATATAAGATGAAACTTTTGTGAGTAACAATACACTTAGGAGATTTTAAAACAAAAACAGTATCTGGGGACTAAATCACCTGGCTGTTTAAAGATATTAGTTGTAAAGTAGTAGCATTCTGGCTTTTCAGCAGATGTGTTAAAAAAAAAATCATGGCTTCCACCTTGAAATGAAATAGCATTACATCTTAACAACAGGATGTAAAATAGAGCAGCTCATATTCCAAACACCCACACTCTTACACCTTCTGCTGACAATTTGGAAATGGGTCTACAGGAAAACCAACAAACAGCAGGGTAACAATAAAACATGAGTGTTTGGGAGGCTGCTTTAATTTACATGCTTTGCTGGCTGCTTTTCCTACTATGCCCTTGATCCCTTCCTACTGCCTAATATAAACTGTAATTTCTTCCTGCCCACTGAAAAGAAAATTCTTGGAAAACACTACATAAACTTCTGACATCCCTCTCAAATGACTGCTTTACTGTCCTCTACTGCAAGCACCTGTATGTTTTACAGAAGAATTTGGCCTCTAGCATTTGCAAACATTTGTTTTTCTATCTGGCAACAAATAAAAGCTCATTTCACATGCAGCATAGAAATTCTCGACTCAAGGCACTCTACCTATTCACAGTCATAACCCATTAAGGTATCATCAGCTACCAGCACCTTCTAATTAAGTGGCTCCATAGCAGGAAATAGCTGGCAAAAGTAGTTAAAGCAGCTCTGATCATTTCTGATAAAAGATTTGCATAAACAAAGGAGAAGCTGGCTGACTTGTTGCCTAGATAGCGTGTGAGCTGAAAAAGTGGCCAGGAGCCAGGTTTTGAGGTTATGCACCACAATACTTATCATTCCTTTGTTTTTGACATCACTGGCTAGCCAAAGAGTCCTATAGAAAACAACCCAGAGAAAAGTGGATTAAAAAGAAAAACACTTTGGGATGTCTTGGAGCACGCTTAGAGTCCTTTTGGCCACTCATAAAAGGGAAGGATTTCACAGTTTAAGACATCAATTATAATATACAAGTCAGTAGTTAAGCTTGACCATAAAGGATAAAATTTAACTCTCCATAAGTGCATTAGAGATCGAAAAGACCCAAACAAGACTGTCACAGAAAAAAGCACTTGTATAGTATTATTCAGTGGAAAAACCTGTTGTTAAAACTGTGGTGCATTTTTCTGCAGCTTGAGGGTATTTTTTAAATAAAAAGTTAAAGTAGTAAGAAATAAAAAGAAAAAGTAGAAGTTAGTTTCCATTGAGCTTGTCTTGCCTGTCTTGGAATACTTAAGTACCTTCAAAAATTATGATTTCCCTCGGTTTTTGTTGCCAGTAAGTTCTCCTTTTTAAAACCAAAAATCAAAACAATACTCATAATTGGGTCATTGTCATTAAACCTCCCTTTCCTACAAGCACAGTACTGCTATTGCCTTCCTTTCTAACTGGTAGTTGTTTCTCAGTGCTGTCTGTCTTGTCTCATGCAGAACAGAGCTGATCCACAATACTTAAATTAACAGAAGTTTCTTCCTTCTCAAAGAAATATTTATGGGAGTCTTCCCATAGACTCTGTGTCAGGCCTGCCAAGTGGAGGCTCACATCTGGAGTAGGAATACAGAAAAAGTAGGCTGGTAGGTTTATTGCAACCATGATAAAAAGGAAAATGCGTGCTGCTACCCTCGTATCTCTGTGATTTCTTTCTAGGTTATCACAAATTATGTGCATCAAGCCTGTCACGCTGCTTTGGGTTTCAGAATACACATGAAACAGGAATCTCATATTTTGCTATATTGATGTTTATATTGTTGCTCTCAGAAAGCATGCCTTATTTTCATGATCATTAAAAGCGTCTGATAAAACATTTAGCTTTTTTACACCTGAAGAGTGGTTACATGAAGAGTAATATGGTTTGCAGGTTGTCTTGCAACAGATGCCTAACTTTCCATCATGAAGGAAGCAAACCCTAGCAACTCATGAGTAGATACATGAGATGGGAAGTCAGTGTTCATATAGAGATGCTTCCCATGGCCTAAGGAAGGATTTTGGAACCTTTCTGCCCCCATCCCTCCTCTTTCAGTTTCAAAAGTTAAAAAGAAAGGATAGTCAGGATAATTAATACCAAAAAAAACCAGTTCTGTAGCAGCTTTTGGTAAACAAAAGTGGAGTAGGCACATACCTGTTAATTTTAATTGAATGGAAGCACACTGGCTGGCTAATTAATTCTCTATCACCACCTACAGATTATTCTTTTAATAATGTCAGGCTCCATGCATTTCCTAGCAAAGAAGTATAAATAGTCTTTTCCCCAAGGCAGACAGCAATGGGAGTTTGGAGGACAGACAACTCTAATCTGGAACTCTGCCCCACACTGTTTAGAAATACCTTCAAGCTGGGCTCCACGGGAGTGGCATTGGCAGAG